GGACATGTGCTCTGTGCAGGCCTGTGTTCCCTCATGGAACAGCAGGTTAGTGTGAATTGTTTGTACTGTCAGTTTCCCGAGGCTGTCATAACAAATAACCTTAAACTGGTTCAACTAACACAAAAGGAACTTTTTTTCTTACAGTTGTAAAGCCCAGAAATTTGAAATCAAGTCTTTGCAAGGCTACATTGCTTCTGAAAGCTCTAGGGAGAATTTGCTCCAGGGCTCTTCAAAATTCTAGTGGCTGTGAGCTGTCCATGACCTGTGTGACTTCCACCACAACGGCACCTGCTTCCCTTCTGCCTGTGTTTCTCCTTTGTGTACATCTGACAAAGATAGCGCCATCTATTGATTCAGAATCTACCTGGATAACCCAGCGTGATCTCACGTTTCTGGGCCTTAATTCAGTTGCATCTGCAAACAGGAACATAGTCATGTGTTCTGTGGATTAGCACATGGGCACATCTTTTTGAAGGCTATCATTCATTCCATCATATAGAATTTTCTGTCATTGCTAGTGAAACAACACAGCTATTACTAAATCATGGAATCTAGAACTTTAGTACTATTTTCATTGAACTAATAACTTATACCATATGTTAGCAATTTTTAATGCTTATACCACCCTATCACCTCCTTAATGCAGATGAGTAACTTAAAATTAAAAAAAAAAAAGAAGGCTCAGTGGCTAAGAACACTGCTTGTTTTTGCCGCAGACCTGGTTGAACCCAAGCACCCACATGGCAGCTAACAACTGTCTCTAACTCCATTCTGGGGATCCAACAGCCTCTTCTGCCTTCCGTGGGCATTGCATGACACGGGTGTACTTACGTACACGCAGGCAATACACGCATAAACATAAATTAAAAATAATAAAGCCAGGCGTGGTGGCACAAGCCTTTAATCCCAGCACTCAGGAGGCAGAGGCAGGCGGGTCGTTGGGTTCAAGGCCAGGCTGGTCTACATAGTGAGTTCAGGTCAGCTGGGACTACAGTGAGACCCTGTCTCAAAAAGACAAAAAATAAAGAAAGAAAGAAAAAAAAATAAATAAATAAAACCTTTTCTTTTCAGAATTTTATTAGAAAGCAAGATACTGCCCTTTTCTCCTTATTATATTCAGGTGAATATCATATGTTCACATCCACGCACATGTGTGTGCCGAAAGAGGAAAAATAATTATAATGACCGTGGTTTGTAAATAGCTTGTCACAGTTTCTTTATATTACTAACATCACAGGCACTATGATTTCAGTTACTTTTAAGCACTAAAAGTCCTTGAAGCAAATTTAGTATGAGCATAAAAACTGGTTTTGGAGGTCCCGCTATGCCTGTCAGTTTTTTTTTAATTATTTATTTAATAACCACATACTTAGAAGAAGCATTTCATTACAACAGCATTGACATATTCAATAACAATTTCCAGAGCTAAGATGCATCTCTTTCAAAATTGGCTGTAAATTTTTAGGTTTACAGTTGAATTATTACAGTTACACAATATTGTACTCAGTATAAACCCTATAAGACATAAAATTAAATGAGGTTTTAACCTTTAAAAAAGATCTCCATTTCCTTATTAAAATACACAGTTTCATACAGAAAAATTCATTTTTAATGAAATTGACATTAAGATGTTTGCACATGCGTTTCTAATGTCTATCTGATTATTACTAGTCACAGTCGGTTACTTTCTGAACTCCTTGGCTTCTGAACATGGATATAAAGTCATCAGGTAGATTTCAATGGTAATGTTTTTCACATCTACTAATTTAATTATTAAGGATCAAATTTTTATGCTTTGAAGAATTATTTTTTTATTTTTTTTTATGTATTTATACACCCTCACTTCAGCTTTAACATATTCAATAATACACACCAGAGCAAGACTACATCTCTTTCACAAGTAGGTGCAAGTTTCTAGATTCACAATTGAATTAGTACAGTTATACAATATTGAACTCAGTATAAGCCTTATAAGACATAAAATTGATTGAGTTTTTAGCCTTTAAAAAAGATCTCCATTTCATTTTAGAATATATTGTTCCTTGCAGAAAGACTCATTGTTTTTGCTACTAACACGGAGATGTTGGCGCATGCATCTCTAATCTGTATGTATCTGATTATTACTAGTCATAATCGGTTGCACTTGGATCCTTGGCACCTGTGTATGTCTATAAAGTCATCAGATAGATTTCAGTGGTAATGTTTATCACCTCTACTAATTAACATGATGTAAATTTTTATGCTTCCTCCTCAAATATAATACATTTTTTTAGTTTGTTGATTTGTGTATGTGTGTGTGCGTGTGTGTGTATCACACAGAACATCCAAAACCATTTTATTCAACTATATACCCACTTCCCAGATTGCGCCCTCCCATAGCCTCCCTCCCCCAACTAGAACCCTATACTATGATATCCCTGTTACTGTCTGCTGTGTTGTCTGCCCCCTCCCCCGCCAAGCCATTCCCCACTACTTGCCCTTCTGGTGACTTTAGTCAGCCTATCTAGAGGTCTTTGTTTTAGGAAGGTCAGCTGTTCCTCATCTAGGAGCAATCATTTGTCAATATTCCTTTAAATAAGATTGGGGTCTGCTGTTCATTTTCCCAATTCTATGCTGGGTTAATATCTGGAAGTCCCTTGGGCCACCTTGGCCAATAACTCAAAGGAAGGTATCTCCTATCTGGCATTGTTGCTTGTTATGTAGCCTTTAGCTATACATATGGACTCTTAAAAAATTATATTGGCCTCTTTAATCTTTGGTTATACTTTCCTCTTGGGTGTTTAAGGCCATACAGTTGGCCCAGATAAACTAATTTATTTTTACTCTTAAGGTCGTTTGAGGATCTGTTCCTCAGGGGTCACATGGGCTTTGGAGGAGCCCCTGGCTCCTTTCTTCTACCAGTTCCTCATACATGAAATTAAGTAAAAGGTCCTAAAAATTTTTTAAAAAGAGATCTTGCCTAAGGTTACAACATAACTGTTAAGAGTATCAATGCCTCGGGTGTGGTAGGGCACGCCTTTGATCCCAGGACTTGGGAGGCAGAGGCAGGCGGATCTCTGTGAGTTCAAGGCCAGCCTGGTCTACATAGTGAGTTCCAGGACAGCTGAGGCTACAAGAGGACCCTGTCTCAAAAAGACCAAAAAAAAGAGCATCAATGTATGCTTAGATCTTATGCATGTATCATTTATGTGTTCATATCTTTCTTTAGAAATCAGTTGCAAGATATTTCACAAGATGAATTTTCGTCATTAGAGTTTTGGCCTCTGAGATTCTCTAGGGCAGATAATCACTCATAAAATCCAGAACACTGCTTTCAGATTTGACCTTAGGGACATCTATCCAAAGTGGTGTTTTGAAGAACAAGAGCCCTGAGAGAAGAGTCAAGTTAGGGCTATTTCACCCAGGGCTATCTTCCAATTCCTAAAAATCTAATATTTTAGCCTTAAATGAATCTTTTGAAATTAGTTTTATGTATGCTACAAGGCTTAGGGATACATACAGGGACTACCTTTATAGCTACCTATAAAGAAGGAAGATCTACCTTCCACATTATCTCTTCCCTATGCCTCCACAATCTTATTTGTAAATGGATGGGAATAATGTTTATTGAATCTCTTTGCAAAATAAATGACATGGTAATATACTTAAAGAGTATAGACTCAATACATAATTGTTAATTTTATCAACTATATTTTACACAAAAAGTCTTTATATAGAGGTATCACATTCAACATTGTAATGAGGTTACAAGCAATAGTGGTTTATCAAAGCTGAAGAGTTTCAGAGTGTGTGTTCCTTACTATGATTTTCCTTTGCAAAGTGTTTTTCTGTCCCTTGCCTTCCTATGGACACCATATTAATGTGCCCCCCCAGCCCCCATTTTTGTGGTATTTTTGAGGCAGGTTTTCCCTGTAGCCCCAGCTGTCCTGGAACTCACTATGTAGACCAGGCTGGCCTTGTACTCACAAAGATCCACCTGCCTCTGCCTCCCCAGGGCTGTGATTAAAGGCATGCACCCCCCCAGCTAGTACCCACTCTTTTGCATTCCTCTTTCTACCCGACTATGTTACTTATTCCTTCTTGGGGAAAAATAAAATTCAATTTTCCACAATAACTCTAATTTTTTTTCTAAGATTTCCAAGGTATTGTGAATCAACAATCATATTCTCACTGTTGCATATTCTTGATCTCTAGAGATCAAGTAGAAACTACTTTCTGTTGGCATGTTTACTATTGTAAGAACAATCTGCTATGCCTTTATCTATAGTCTATAGATAAAGCATTAGAAGAAGCAGGACTCTGCTGACGTTTAGCTCTAAGTAGGCATGTGTTACTTGCAGGTCTATTCTAAGCAAAAGTAGTTTATACCTGTTAAATTGTATGAAATTAGTGATCTGTTTGCTTCTATTCAATTTTGATTTGTAACATATAATGTGTAATATGTCACTATAGTAGATAGGAAGAAGACTGGGCATTCTTGATTATTTATTGATACCTTTTCATTTATTGGTTTTCTTTGCTAATTTTAAATTTATGAACCTCATGTAAAATAATACTTTACTTCATGAAAGTCAATGTCCATAATAAAAGAAAATTAATGTATATTACTTGAAACATGAACATTATCATCTACTGTTTTATGGATTTCTTTTTGAGTAAATGTTAGCACATGGGAGTGAAATGGATTGTCTTTAAAGCATGACTCAAAGTTAGTAGAAGCCATAGGTCTTTGAATACATTTAATTCTTATTTTTATCCCTCTTAGCCATGACATATTTTTCCACAAATCCCCTTGAATCAGGAAGTAAATTCATTTCCTGGCCCAGAAAGCCTTTAATTGGTGATGTTTAAAGGAAAATGTTCTAAAACGCATTGCTTTGTGTAATTGAAATTCTGACCCTGCTTTGCTGTCAAACCTGGTGGCTGAGTCTCCCCCTGAGCAAAGGGAAGCAAAGTTACCTGCATGAAAGGCTTTACACAGTGTCTTCTCCAACCTCCAGGTGAGCTCAAAATGCCGAGGCCTGTGGTGGGAGTGCGTGACAAATGCCTTTGATGGGATTCGCACTTGTGACGACTATGACTCAATCTATGCAGAGCACCCCTGTACGTATACTGATGACCTTTCTGCTTGCCAGGACAGGAGCACCGAGAGATTCTGGGCTCAGAGTGTTCATTGTTTTTGATTTCTGGAATATGGTATTAATGCTCTAATTTGAAATGTTACAATTAGAAATCAAGTTCATTTCTGAATTACAAATTGAAGCATGTATTGTTATATTTGATCTTTGACGTGTGTTTATAAATTCCTTGATGGTAAGATATTATCTCTACTGTCTGTCAAGGAACCTGACATAAGACCTACAATAGTAGGCTTTTAGCAAATGGTTTATAAATTGACACTTTTCCTTTGAGTGCTGTGATTTTATAATTAGAAATGACTTGCTGGATGAATGGCATTCCAGTCACACCTTTCAACTGTGGCTTAGATGATGTAGAGAGTTTATGGTTTCTTCAGTGAATGATTTGCCAAGATAGAGAACAATAAAGTAGAGGCAGAGGTAGAGAGAGAGGTAGCTGGAGGATGACAGAACAGGCTCAGAGGATGCGAACACTAGCATAGTGATGCGCACTGTTAACCCCAGTGCTCAAGTCAGCACTTTCATCTTGCTTGCTTTTAGCTCTATATCCTAGTTGGATATTAGTAAGGCCATATTTCCATGAATATAGCAGTCTTTTAAATTAAAAACCTCATTGTTGATTCTCTCAGTCCTTTTCATAGCAATTACTTATTTACTTAGAACATTTACTTAGAACATGCCAAGAAATGCCAGTCCTGCTATTAAAGCAAAGTGGTGCTAGTGCCTTTCAAAGCAAACAGAGGTGATGATGCCACAAGGCGACTTATTCCCAAGATAAATGAAAATAGTCTTGCGGACTGTGTCTCTTCCCCTGGACAGCTAGTGCAGCCCAAGAGAAAGCATGTAAGCAGAGGAACACTCAGGTTGTTTGCATTGGCTATTTAAAAGCTAGGCACGTGAAATATTTTTGGCCATAATTGATAAGGCCTTTTATTAAACTTTTATTTATAAAATCTTAAGACTTCTCATTTTCCTCCCTGTTGGCCCAGTCTCCCCATGGCTTCCCGATTCTTTGCACCTGGACCAACCCAATTCCTCAGTCTAGTACCCTGGAGCCCTCAAAGCCAGTCCCCTCTCCCACCTTGCCTTTGCACACCTGAGACTAGCCTTTATCCCTGGTTGTCCCAACCTGCCTAGGACTCCTGAGGCCAACATTCTTACAAACAAACAAACAAAAAAAAACGTGATTTGAAGAATAGAAATGGAAATTCATGTGGGGTTCTCAGACTATTCCAAAAATGCAGTGTGTTACTAAAGCTAAGACAAGCTTGTTTGTTTATTTATTTATTGGGGGCATGGATGTACCACAGCACACATGTAGAGGTCAGAAACTTTGTTCTCTTCTTCTACCATAGAGATGTTAGGGATTGAATTCCCGTTATCAGACTTGGCAGCAAGCACCTTTACCTATCAAGCCATCTTGCCAGTCTGAGAAGGCACAGAAGATTAAACACTTAAAACTTCTGAATATTGGCTAGGCATGCTGCCACATATCTTTAATTCCAAGAACTTGAGACACAAAGGAAGTAGATCATGGATCTCTGTGAGATAGAGGCCACCCTGGACTGCATAAGCAAGTTCCAGGACACCTATGGCTGCAAGGAGACTCTGTGTCAATAAAATAAAAAAAAAAGCAAAGCAAAACAAAGA